TTCTTCTTTCTTCTTCTTCTTCTTCTTTTCTTCTTCTTTCTTCTTCTTCTTCTTCTTCTTTTCTTCTTCTTCTTTCTTCTTCTTCTTCTTCTTTTCTTCTTCTTCTTCAATATATAATGTATTATCTGTTTCAGAGGTACAGGTCTGTGATTCATCAGTCTTACACAATTCACAGTGCTCACCATAGCACATACCCTCCCCAATGGCTATCACCCAGCCACCCCATTCCTCCCACCCCCCACCACTCCAGCAACTCTCAGTTTGTTTCCTGAGATTAAGAATTCCTCATATCAGTGAGATCATATGATACATGTCTTTCTCTGACTTATTTCGCTCAGCATAATACCCTCCAGTTCCATCCACATCGTTACAAATGGCAAGATCTCATTCCTTTTGATGGCTGCATAATATTCCATTGCGTGTGTATATATGCATATATATGTATATATATACACACCACATCTTCTTTATCCATTCATCTGTTGGTGGACATCTTGGCTCTTTCCACAGTTTGGCTATTGTGGACATTACTGCTATAAACATCGGGGTGCACGTACCCCTTCGGATCACTACATTTGTATCTTTGGGGTAAATACCCAGTAGTGCCACTGCTGGGTCGTATGGTTCTTTGCTTATATTTTATTAGAGTACCTAAGACTCATTGTCTTGGATTTTGTTAGCTTGGCCTGTGTTCCTCTCTGATGAGGAAGTAAGTTCCTGGAAGACGGGATTCTTTCTTTGTAGTATGTGTTTTTCTCTATAAAGCTTACAGTGCCTTGCAAACAGTATTAAATGACATATATGTTAAGTTAGTGTTTCTGTGATTTTGATTACATCAAAATTAATATTAATTGACAATTTGGCCAATTAACCTATATAGAATAGGCTTCACCCTCTATACAAAGCCTCAGAGCTTGTGACTTATCAGCCATTCCATTTCCATATCAGCCCAATTTTAAAGAAGTACTGCAGTGTTCATGTGCTCTTCATGATAAAGAATTCTTTGTTTCCCTCTGGAGAGGAAGAGGCCAGATAGACCAAAGAATAGTGATCTTAAAGAGAAGAGGCCAGCACCTTGGATCCTTAATTGCTATTTTCGAGAGATTGGAGGGAGGGGGCAATAGTTAAATAAATAAATGTGGCATAAAAGCAGCACATAGAGAACAGCGAGTAAAGGGCATCTGCAGTGGCTACTCTGCATATTGGAAAACCCTGCGGCTCTGCCTTTCTAGCACCTCATGATTCGGTTGCAGGTCAATTCCGAGTCTCCATCTGTTAGCAGAGTGATATTTGGGCCACACCCAACATAGCAAATCCTCTGCCCAAATTAGAGGTTACAGCAGAAAGCCTAGCACAAAAGCATACTGGCTCAAGCGCTTTTATTTTGCTGACTTTGATGCCCATGAAATAACTTTGATGTGGTCTCGTTGGAGTGATTCTGAAAACTGAAATTTGGATTGTTGTTTCTGTGCTGAAACTAAACCTAATTTTTTTTCTTCATTTGAGAAAGGGTGTGTGAGAGAATGAGAGAGTAGGAATAGGGGGAGGGGCAGAGGAGAAGCAGACTCGCCGCTGAGCAGGGAGCCTAACCATGAAACAGGTAGGGTGCCTTGACTCTATCCGGTCCCAGGACCCTGGGATCAGGACCTGAGCCAAAGGCAGACGCTTAACCGACTGAGCCACCCAGGGGCTGTGAAAGTAAACCTAATTTTTAAAAAAGGATAAAAATCCTCAAATTGAAATAATGATTTGTCTGTTTTTGCTGTTATAGGTTCCTTGCACTGACTCCATGGAGAGTGTATCACCTGATTTCTGTCATGATACTTGGGCGTGTTATTATGCAAATAATAAAGGATATGGTTTTATCTAGAGCTAGAGGTAAGAAAACTGAGAATTCATTTTTATGGTATGTAATTTTCTAGACCCTGAATGTCTGATCTTTGTGTAAGCATATTAACCAAGTAGTTTTAAAAGGGAACAACATAACAAATTATGTAGGCATTGACTTTGGTATTATTGTTTATTGAATACGTATATATTTGGTAAATATTTAATTAATTAATTAATTAATTAATAATCAATTACTTAGCTGATGTCCCTAGTCATAGCTACTGATCCTGGGCGAAAGGTTTGTGTGTGCTGGTTTCTCTTTGGCTCTAAGTGCTACTTAAATATCATTTTGATATGTAAGTAGGCTGCAGCAAAGATAACAGTGAAATATTTATTACATCCCACATGATGAAACTTGGACCACTGGAAGATGGCCTCATTTATATGAAAACTTTTTCTGCCTCAGTGAAGAAAAAAACAATTCAGGGCTTAAAAACAAGTAATAGTTGGGGTGCCTGGCTGGCCCTGTCAGTAGAGGTATGACTCTTGATCTTGGGGTCATGAGTTCAAGCCCCATGTTGGGGGTAGAGAGTACTTAAAAACAAAACCCCAGAAAACAAGTAATAGTTAAATAATTTTAACAAATGAGTTCACATTGATGAAAAATGAACTAATTTTAAACATTGTTTAGAAGTGAGAAGTTGAATTACTTTTGAAATTTGTTTAAGGTGTTTTCTGAGTAATTTGTATTATAAATCTGAGTCAAGCTTTTCTGCACTCGGAGAGGCCTCTTCTACCAGCTAGTTTTTGTGAATGCGCAAAACTGCGTACTTGGAATAATTGAGCCCTGGGAACCTAAATGTGGTTAAGATGATGGATTTGATCAAAAACCAGCCAAGAGGAAGAGGTTACAGTGAGACATTTAATTTCATTAAGTGTAACCCCCACACGGAGGGATAATGCTGGGTGGGGTCCATATGGATCAGTGCATATAAGGACTTGCCAAAGTTCTTGCTCTGGCAGGAATCCCAAAGCCTGCCTTGTGGGAAGCACCCTTGTTCTCCCTAAAGCCAACTCTGAGACTGGGGATAGAAGCTGTTACCGATTTCCCATCGTCATGTTCTACAATGTGCCTTAACTCTGGTTTATCCTTTAAGTCTTTACAGTTCTTAGAGCAAATCATGTGCAAACCATTTTTCGAAAGATGGTTTCACATTGCTGTGTTTCAAGGTTTGAAGGGAATTCCTTCACTCTAGTGATCTAGGAAGGTGACAGTAAACTTGTGAATTTAAAGAATTTATGTGAAGAATCAACCTCCTGGAAGGGGGCAGCACCAAACTGGAGGTTTGGTTAGGAGACCTCCCACCAATGCGTTTGTGTGCAGTTACTGCTTTTCATGAATCTCTAGATTAAGATTATGTTCTTGGATGCAGTGTTCCTTCTCTCCCCTCCCTCCCCGCCCCACCATTTTCTGCTTCAGAGAACAGTCACCCAGCTCCCTCACTTCTGTTTTTAAGATTTATTTATTTATTTGAGAGAGAGACAGAGAAAATGCAAGTGGGGGAGGGGCAGAGGGAGAGAGAGAATCCTCAAGCAGACTCCCCACTGAGTGTGGATCCCAGCACGGCGCTCCATCCCAGGACCCTGAGATCATGACCTGAGCCGAAATCAAGAGTCAGATGCTTAAACGACTGATCCCCCCAGGCGCCCCACCAACTCCCTAACTTTTAACCCTATCAGGCACCTGCCCCAGTACTTTCTGTTCACCACAGATGTAGTAAGGCTGCCTGGAGATAGAGCAGCTCACACTGTGGGGTTTTGCCCAGGGCTGGTCCAATCCACGCATGGCGATGCCCTGTTTCTGCCCTGATTCCTAATGGATACAGGAGAGCCCATTTTTCTCCACTAGACCTCGTAACATCTTCACCCTCCAGGGCCTTCTTCAGGGGAATCTTAGAAGAAAAGAACTACTTAAAAAGTCTATCAACGGCCATTTTAGATGAGCATCTCAGCAGTGTTGGTGTTGCATCAAACTGGGTCACATCTGGGCACACCTTATAAGGAGCAGACAAGCACGGAAGGCCAGGACAGAGCTGGAAAACTTTGCAACTGCTCTTTTCTCATTCTTGGCCACTCACGCAGAGGTCATTCTCAGCCTTGACTCATTGGCTTGATGTTCTTGCAAAGATGGGACTTTCATATTCCTGAAGGGTGGGACACCTCTGCTTACAAAGGTTCAGTCCTTTACCAAACTCAGCTGGGAGAGTTGGAAGAATACGAGCCTGAAGGGTCTAGTCCTTGAGCTCATTCACTCCACTCCCCAGTCGTGGAGGGCACCCATCCTGGACTGTGTTAGTGTCCTGGGGCTGCAGTAACAAATCATCATCAGCGTGGTGGCTCAAAACGACAGAAATCTCTTCTCTCACTGTTCTGGAGGCCAGTCATGCAAAATCAGTATAGCATGGGGCCAAAATCAAGGTGCTGGCAGGGCTGTGCCCCCTCCAGAGGCTCTAGGGAAGCATTCTTTTCTTCTCCCGGCCTCCGGTGGTTGCTTGGTGTATTGGCTTGCAGCCTCAACACTCCACTCCCTGCCTCGGTGCTCATGGCCCCCTCTCTTCTTCCATCCTCACCAGATCTCCCTCTGCCTCCCTTTTACAGGGATCCTTGTGACTGCATTTGGGGGCCAACCTGGATAACCCAGGACAGTCTCCGCATCTCTTGATCCTTGACTGAATCCCATATGGTACCTCCCTTTTTCCATATAAAGTAAGATTTTGCAGGGTTCGGGGCAGAAAAGCCCACCGTCACTCGGTCTCCTTATCCCATGAAATGGCAGAAACCGACCCGCAACCACGCAGTTGTGTGAGGGCCACCTAAGAGCGTCGACTAGAAGTGCCTCGGGCGCAGTGACCCTCTGCCCCCTGCAGCTCTGATGGAGAATCTGAACAACACGGGGTTTGTTGGCCCATCAGGCGGTCTGTGTGGAGCGCCTTACTGTGCGGGGCCTGCCTCAGTGCGGGGCTTCCAGGGGCTTCCAGATACCCCACCCCCACAGGCCTCTCTGCCCGCCCCCCCCCCCCCCAGGAGCTCTCATGCCCCATCCTGTAGGGCAGGGTGTGTCCCAGGCCAAGCTTTACGTCAGGGTTTTAACTGGGTAGCCTGCTATGCACCAAGAGGAAAGGAGAACCAGGATTAACCGCTGTGCTTTCCCAGCACTCCTCAGCCTATGACCGAAGGAACACTGGTGCCCGCCCCGGCCTCCTTCAGTGGAGTCTGTGGAGACAAAGCACATGGACAAAGTCCGTGTGAGCCCTGCACACAGCTGGCAGGAGCCCGCCTCTGCAGACCTTTCAGCCCAGGGCCCTGCTGTGATGAATGTGTCTCTGCGAGGCGTCCAGTTCGAGCCAGATGCGGTTATGGAAACTCCGTGGCTTCCACCAGACCTGCCAGCCACTCGGGCCGGATGTCTTGGCTTTGCCGCAGCAGCTGGGAAAGCGTGAGCGAGTCCTCAGGCTCACGGGGCTGTTCTCTCCCCTCCCATCTCGGGGTTTCCGCTCCCCGCCCCCCACATTTCTGGCTGAAGATAGCAAACTTCCATTGTTAAGAATTTAGTTTTATACCTCCTCTTCCCCCATGGTTATCTTTTTTCCTTCAAGATTTTATTTATTTGAGAGAGAGAGAGCATGAGCGAGAGTGAGAGCATGAGTGGGGGAGGGGCAGAGGGAGATAAGCAGCAGACTCTCCACTGAGCGGAGAGCCCGACGCAGGGCTCGATCCCAAGACCCCAAGATCATGACCTAAGCCAAAGGCAGACACATCACCGACTGAGCCACCCAGGCGCCCCCCACATTGTGATCTTTAGTACCATCTTAGATGCTTCCTATGAAGTAGGTGAGGCCCGAGTATGAAGATCCTTTCAGGTAAATTAATCTTTGTGGAATCTACCAGAGCCCACGTGTCTGTTGCGAGTCAGCAGCGTGAGCAGCCTCCAGCTCCGGTGGATTTCTCGCTCACTCTTGCTGGTGCCTACTTTGAGTGCACACTTCTCTTCATCCAGGCCCTGGGGAACTTTTCTGCAGCCGTAGGCTCTTCCTCCATCGCCTACCCCTCTCTCTCATGACAGAAGAGCCCAGAATTTCCACACTGGTTCCCTTTAATATCCTATTCAAGAACCGCCCTGTGTGGTGGGGGGGAGGACTCAGCGGGTCCCCACGCGGGCACCTGTGGAGCATATCCACCTGTCTCTTTATACTCTTCCTCCTGTGAAATCTGCACTGCCCATTTATGCCATGTTCTGCCAGCCCCTCGCTCCTCGGGAACCCGCTCTCTGCTTTCCGTGTAAGTGCTACCCTGCTCAGTGTCTGACCCCCGCACTGCCCCCCAGCCCTGCACAGCCCCAGCCTGCTCTGTGCTCCATGACTGTGGTGCTCCTGTCCCTGCCATTCTAAATGTCCTTGTCCCCTTAGCCAGCAACCATACTCCTTTTCCTCACTTTTAATGACAGACCAAACAAGCAAACACCCCTTAGTGTTATCTGCTTTCTCTACTCTTGGATCCAGTGTTAACAGAGAAATGTCCTATGACAGGTGGTTTGTTAGTGCTCAACTTTATCCCACTTTCCAACGTCACCTTGAGGCCTCACTAGTGCTCAGAATTCCTTGGATTCTTTTGAATTGTTTATTTGCTTTGTTTGACAAGCCATCTAACCCCCAAGTATATGCCATCTAACCCCAAAAGCTTATAAGGATCATAAAAAATGAAACTCATTTAAAAAGGTGTAGTAGAGGAACAGAATTCTGATATGGTGACCGTAACTGAGCGACGGAGTCATCCCTGGGCTTACTGGCAGCCAAGGCAAAAAGGGAAACTAGACCAACTGAACAATTCTTCTAATAGTCTGATGAAAGAATGCAAGCAATTTTGAGAAACTTTTTTTCCTGGGACTCAATTTTAAGAATTTATTACATAGATCTTTGATAGGGGAGACTGCAGAACAAAAGGGACAGCATCGTTGGCATTCGTTTCATGGGAAAATGCAGAAACGGCCTCGTGGCCACTTCTAATATTGCACTTCATTAAAGCTGGTAGCTGAGAGTATAATATTAAGATATAGCACAGTGAAGAAAGAAAGCTAATCAAGAAAGCAAGTGATTGATCTAAGTATACATTTTTTTCTGTTGATTTCATTTGAGCCTAGGTATAAGCTCAAAACACCTAAAGAATGAATAGATAAAAATCTCCTTTCTCAAGTAACAGTTGTCGTCATTCTCCTTCCGTCAGCACCATTTCAGAACCCACCTTAAATGCCACCTCGGTTATTGGTGCTTCCTTGAGCAGCCTGATTTTCTCTCTTCCCTGAACTCTTCGTGGTTTGGGCTTTTTGTGTAGTTCCTACACCACCTACCTCGGTTCATACGTACTTGAGGGCATGCTAGGACTACCGCACTGAACAGTCAAGTCCCTGAGGCAGGACCACGTGTGATGTAGAGCTCTATCTCTCATGGGACCTGTCCAAGTGTTTTACATGTAGTAGGATCTCAAATATTCATGGACTAATCGCATGAATTAATTATGGTACCAGAGGTATACACTGAATGGTTTGATAATTCCTAGAGTTTAAATATTTAAGCATTTCATTTTTTTTTTTAGATTTTATTTATTTATTTGAGAGAGAGAGAGAGAGAGTGTGTGTGTGCGCACAAGCACAAGCCTCGGGGAGGGGCAGAAAGAGAGGGAAAGCAGACTCCCTGCTGAGGAGGGAGCCTGATTCGGGACTTAATCCCAGGACCCTGGGATCATGACCTGAGCCAAAGGCAGACGCTTAACTGACTGAGCCACCCAGGCGCCCCTAAGCATTTCGTGTTAAATAGCTCAGAATATTTCTAAGTTGAGAAGTGCCTCAAGAGAAAAACACCTCCATTAATGTCTTGCTTTTTGCCTCTCCTTGTTACAGGTGCACAGTTGTGGAGAAGCCTCAGTGAAAGGTAAGGAACTTGGTTTTTTTTCAATGTTATTGCTAACAAGAGGGTAGGTGACTGAGGCTCCAAGATGTCCAGTGGATTCAGATCCATCAGTTGGTTCTCTCCTTCTTTAAAATTGACTTTATGTTTTAGAACAGTTGAGATTTACAGAAAAATTGAGAAGATAGTACAGACTTTCCATATACAGATAGTACATCCCCTACCTTTCTTCTCTTCACATAGTAATATTACATTACTGCCATCCATTGTCACAATTAATCAATATCTTCCTATTAGCTAAAAGTCCATGCTGTGTGCAGATTTCCCTAGTTTTCGCCTGATGTCTTTTCTTTGTTCTAGGATCCCATCCAGGATTCCACAATGCATTTCATAGACATACCTCCTTAGGCACCTCTTGGCTGTGACGGTTTCTCAGACTTTTCTTATTTTTGTCGACCTTGACAGTTTTGAGGAGTACTAGTCAGATATATTGTAGGATGTCCCTTTATTAGAATTTGGTGTTTTTCTTATGACCAGACTGCGGTTATGGGTTTGGGGAAGAAGAGCACAGAGGTAAAGTGCCATTGTTATCACATTGTATTAAGGGTACGTCTCATCGATGTGATTTATCATTACGGTTTTAACCTTGACCACCTGGCCAAAGTAATGTTTGTCCAGGTTTCTCCAAGTTGGTTATTTTAAGCAGGGGAATCTGCTTGGGACATCAAATTAAGATCAGAAGGCTGTTGATAAGAACAGGATCAGAGAGAGTGATTTGAAATTGGTTAACGATGCTGCCCTTGTGACATGCAGGCCCCTTTAGGCACGAACCCATCCCTGGCTGGCCTGGCAGTACGGGGCTTGGGTTCTAGTCCTGCCCACCGCAGACACACTGGACCTCCTTGGGCCAGTGTCTAAGCTTCCTGTGCAAGTGAAGAATTTAAGCTTGCTCCTTAATTTTGGTTGGGGGAGGATGCGACCCAGTGAGCTTTTTAAAAAAACACTTTGTGTTGGGCGCTGGGGTGGCTCAGTTGGTTAAGCGACTGCCTTCGGCTCAGGTCATGATCCTGGAGTCCCGGGATCGAGTCCCGCATCGGGCTCCCTGCTCAGCAGGGAGTCTGCTTCTCCCTCTGACCCTCCCCCCTCTCATGTACTCTCTCTCTCTCTCATTCTCACTCTCTCAAAATAAATAATAAATAAGTCTTTAAAAAAAAAAGCACTTTGTGATTTACTGGTCCTTATTTTGACTGGTGAAGGTATCAATTGCCTGCTTTTTCTAGAGCCCTTGCTGTCCAAGCCCTGTTTAGAAGCTGTTTGAGGGGTGCCTGGGTGGCTCAGTCGGTTAAGCATCTGCCTTCGGCTCAGGTCATGGTCCCAGGGTCCTGGGATCGAGCCCCGCATCGGGCTCCCTGCTCAGCAGGAAGCCTGTGTTCCCTCTCTCGCTGTCTCTCTCTCTGTCAAATAAATAAAAAAAAATCTTAAAAAAAAAAAAAGAAGCTGTTTGAGTGTTTGATAATGATTTGGAAAAAATAAGATAGTGAGCAGGACCAAGGAACTCACTTTGCCAATGCCAGGTTTGGTCAGGGAGTAAGTAGCTTATAATATGGCTTTTTTTTTGATTTATAATATTTCACCGCTTTGGGAAAGTGCTTATGTGCCTCCAGAGAAGGCATGATAATGGAAATAACCTTTTTTTTTTTTTTTAGATTTATATATCTCAGTGAGAGAGAGAGCAAACAGGAGGAGGGGCAGAGGGAGTGAGCACAGGACAGGGGGAGGGGCAAAGGAGAGGGAGAAAAAAATCTCAAGCGACTCCCGCTGAGCGAGGAGCCTGATGCAGGGCTCCTTCCACAACCCTGAGATTACAACCTGAGCCAAAACCAAGAGTTGGTCACTTAACCAACTGCGCCACCCAGGTGCCTTGGAAATAAGCTCTTTAAGGGAGGGTCTCATTCACTTCACAATTACCTGGATACATATTCAGGTTCATCCTGGTCCCAGTCCCACAGCTGATGATCTTGCCAAGTTCATTCCTCTCGGCCTCAGTTTTTCTCATCTGCTGAGGTGAGAGAGAGAATCATTTCAGATATCCCTTCCAGCCCTAAGAAGTCTGTAATGCAATTTAAGGTATTTGCGTGTTTGAGATATTGTGATTCATAATAAGAAATATAGATTTGGCCTTTGTCCCCAAGGTTCTGGCACCAAATCACTAAAACTTTTGCACTTCCCTAATTGTTGAGAGAAAGGTGTCTTTTGTTATGTTAATGAGGTGGCTTTTCTAAGGCACCTAAGGACAGGGGCTGGTTGGCATGGGAATTGATTAGAGGCTTGATTGGAAGGTTGGAACTTTCAGTGCTGCTCCCCTTCTCTGGGGAAGGGAGAGGAGCTGGAGGTTGAACCAATCACCAATGGCCAATGATTTAATCAATTGTGCCTGTGGAATGAAGCCTCTATAAAAACCCAAAAGGACAGTGTTTGGAGAGCTTCCAGGTGGGTGACCATGTGATTTGTGGGGGAGCAGCACATTTGGGGAGGCCATGAAAGCTCCCCACTCTTTCCCCATGCCTTGCCCTAGGCTTCTCTTCCAGCTGGATGTTTCTTAGTTACATCTTTTGTAACAAACCTGTAATGTAGTAAGTAAAATGTTTGAGTGCTGGGAGCTGCTGGAGCCAAGTAATGGAACTCAAGAGAGGGGATTGTTGGAACCTCCAGTATATAGCAGGTTGGTCAGAAGCACAGGTGACAGCCTGGGTTGCAAATGGCATCTGAAGTGGGGGAGGGGACAGCCTTGTTGCATGGAGCCTTAACCTGGGGGGGTCTGACTCTATCTCCGGGTAGATAATGTCAGAATCAAGTTGAGTTGTAGAACCCTCAGCTGGTGACCTAGAATCGCTAGGTGGTGTGGAGAAGGTCCCCCTCTGGTCCCACCCCCACCCAGAAACTTGGGGATAAAGGCCAAATCTATATTTCTTATCATGAATCACAATATCTCAAACACACAAATATCTCAGATTGCATTACAGACTTTTTAGGGCTGGAAGGAATATCTGAAATGATTCTCTCTCTCACCTCCTCAGCAGATGAGAAAAACTGAGGCCAAGAGAGTAATGAACTTGGCAAGATCATCAGCTGTGGGACCAAAATTGTAGCTGGTGATCAGAAGTGGGATCAAAGAATCATTCCCGTTTCTTTCATTTTGTTATCTTGTCACGTTTTTGTTTGGCCAGTGACTCCTTCAAAGGGATTTAATCCACAGTAGAAGGGATACTTTCCGGTATTTTTACACTGGTTTTTTTTTCCCCCAGATTTTTATTTAAGTTCTAGCTAGTTAAAATATAGTGTGATATTGGTTTCAGGAATAGAATTTAGTGATTTATAACTTACATATAAGTGCTCATCAAAACAAGTCCCCTTGATACCTATCACTCATCTAACCCATCTCCCACCCACCTCCCTTAAGTAGTCTCTTTTGTTTGCCTCCCTCTCTCTTTATTTATTCCCCTTCCCCTGTGTTCATCTGTTTTGTTTCTTAAATCCCACATTTGAGTGAAATCATGATATCTTTCTCTGACTGCCTTATTTCACTTACCATAATACTCTTTAGCCCCATCCGTGTTGTTGCAAATGGCAAGATTTCATTCTTTTCGATGGCTGAGTTCACAGTTTCTCCTGTGTAATTGTATTCTGTTCTCTATTCATCATGGAGACATGAAATTACAATATTTATTCCTCTAATTTCTTTGATTCGGTATGTTGCTTACGGTGATTCTTGGTGTCTGGTACTGGGTGGTGCTTGTGTTTTTCACACTGAAAAATTCAGAACCACTTTATTTGAAGGACAAAATGCAGTGCTGTATTGAGAGGCTCTTCTGAATCAGAGAGGCCCGGTTTTGCTCACATGAGCATTGTGGGATTAGGGTCTTTCCACTTCTACGGTTGGTTGGTTTGCTGTCTCACTCTCAGAAGGAGCCAGACCTTCTCTCTGTGGGGCTTTAATTGCTTCATTAAAGATCATTACGTTCACTATAAAAAGGTGAGGCAAATAATGGACCATTCTCTCTTCATAATGCCGTTGTAAAGCTTTTTAATTTCAAAAGAGCTCCTTGCAAAGGGAACCGTTGTGCACTGTTGGTGGGAATGTAAATTGGTGTAGCCCCTATGCAAAACAGGGTGGAGGTTCCTAAAAACTTAAAAATAGAACTACCCTATGATCCAGCGATCCCACCGCCTCGTATACCCGGAAGGAAAGGACATCAGTGCCACAAACAGAAACCTGTACCAGCATATTTACTGCAATGTTATTCAAAACAGCCAAGACATTGAAAGAGCCTAAGTGTCCAACAGTGGACGAATGGATACATAGGGACATATATACAAGGGAATATTATTTAGCCATACAAAAAGAAGGAAATTCTGCTATTTGTGACAATATGGATGAACCTGGAGGGCATTGTGCTAAGTACCATAAGTCAGAGAAAGACAAAAACTGTATGGTCTCACTTATCTGTGGCATCTAAAAAAGCTGCTGATAAAAACAGGAGCGGAGCCTGGTAGCTGCCCGGGGGCTGGGAGGGAAGGGAAATGAGAAGTTGGCCAAAGGGCGTACACACACTTGCAGCTAGAAGACCAGTGAGTCCTGGGGATCTAACGTACAACATGGCCGCTCTAGTCAACAATGTAATATTGTGTACTTGCAAGTTGCTAAGAGAGTGCACTTCAGTGTTGTCACCACCTCCCCAACAAAATGGGAATTATGTGAGGTGGAGGATGTGTTAGCTCTCTATGTGGTAATCATGTCACAATTTATGTGTGTATCAAACCCTCATATTGTACACGGTAAACTTATACAATGTTATATGTCAACTATGTCTCAGGAAAGCTAGAGAACAAAAAGGATCTCCTGCCTTCGGCTCAGGTCATGGTCCTGGAGTCCCGTGATCGAGTCCCACATCGGGCTCCCTGCTCGGCGGGGAGTCTGCTTCTCCCTCTGACCCTCTTCCCTCCCGTGCTCTCTCTCTCTCATT